ACTCTTTGGTTCCTGAATTTCATTCTGATTGTGCAGATAAAATATAGTGGACAGAATTCTACAGGATGCATGGCTAGTGTGTGAAAACAGTCAAGATCTAAGGATCCCCAGGCATGCACCTCCAGGATAGGGGAGACATCAGGTGCCATCATGGCACCTGGGTATCTTCACTTGGTCACAAGTGGCTGATAGCCAGGTACAAAATGTGCCTGGTGAATTTCAAAAGATGATGATGATACCACCTATACAGTGGTACCTCGGGTTAAGAACTTAATTTGTTCTGGAGGTCTGTTCTTAACCTGAAACTGTTCTTAACCTGAAGCACCATTTTAGCTAATGGGGCCTCCTGCTGCCGCTGCGCCGCCAGAGCCCAATTTCTGTTCTCATCCTGAAGCAAAGTTCTTAACCCAAGGTAATATTTCTGAGTTAGCGGAGTCTGTAACCTGAAGCGTATGTAACCCGAGGTACTACTGTATTTATACAGGGAACTTACTGAGAAGATTCATTTTAAAAAGCAACTATACAAAAACAAATTATTGTCAAATTGAGAAATATTTAAGGAGGAGGTACCAAATCTTGTCCTTTCTTTCCAAGTTGGATAAATAGGTCTCTGCCACTGGGGTCCTGCTTGGTATTGTTTTTCAGCTTCTATTATATTTGCGACTGTTCTGAAACTTTTTAAAGCAGTTTTTGTTATATTTTGTCTATTGCCTTAGTATAAAGTACATGTGGAAGGAGGTTAACAAACAACAAAAAGGAAACACAGGAATTCTCTTCAGTTCACAGGTGAGTGAGCTTCTCTGATGGGTGGATTTTTATTTTTATTTTTATTTTTTAACTCAGGAAGGTGTGATCAGGCTTGTCAGGCTAGCTAGAGTGAGTAAATTCTGCAGCCCTGACTCCCTGACTCCCCTCCACCAGTACAGTGGTACCTCGGGTTACATACGCTTCAGGTTACAGACTCCGCTAACCCAGAAATATTACCTCGGGTTAAGAACTTTGCTTCAGGATGAGAACAGAAATCCTGCTCTGGTGGCGCGGCGGCAGCAGGAGGCCCCATTAGCTAAAGTGGTGCTTCAGGTTAAGAACAGTTTCAGGTTAAGAACGGACCTCTGGAACGAATTAAGTTCTTAACCCAAGGTACCACTGTACTGCAAAGAGTAGGAAAAAATAAAACATGGTCACTTCTTGGCCCATTCTCTCAGAAATAAATAAGTTCTACAATCCCAGTCAACTTTGGGAAGCTTGCCATAAGATAAAGAACTATCTGTTAGAAAGGCTCATTATTGAGTTTGATCTGATCAACTCACCAAGGCTAGAACATTAAGAGTTTTGTCCTGAGTGTGTGAAGCCCATAACACACTTTGGAGCATGTTCAGAATAGGGCTGGGAAATATCTGGTTTTCAACATTGTGATTTATCACCAGCTAAACATTGCAATATACTAATATATCACAATGCCTGGAATAAGGATGGAGCTGTGGGGAGGCTGCCTTCACTGTTTTTCCTGCATCGTGATTTTTGCCAACACCTGGCTTTGTGATTCGCTGCCCCCTGCAGGAGACAAGAGAGAGCTGAGCCAGCAGAGTTAACAGGGCTGGAGGGATTGAGAGAAGCATTGGCTGGCTTCGTCTTTCCCACATTGTGATTTTTGCATGGAACACACACACACACATCATGATTTGTGATATATTGCCAGGTCAAAAATTATGAAACCGATATCACAATCTGAACTTCAAACTGGCTTTGGGCAATATATTGCCCAGATCTACAGAGTTGTATTGCTTCACCTGTGGGCAGTCCAAGCCAAGGTTCTCACCTCTGACCTCAGAGCCTCTGAACTTGCGACATGGTTCTTGTGACTCTCCAGAACCTCCAATCTCCAGCCGGAGTTGCTGATGGTCAGTGATGACAGCAATCAGACAACATTCGGAGGAGCACAGGTGCTGCATCCCTTCTCTAGGGCAAAGGAGACAGTGGTTCACTTAATAACCCTTACCTCTTTCCTTTCCCAGTTTCAGTTGTAAGCTCTTTGGGACAGACACCTGCCAGTTTATTCAGCACACATGTTTAGCATCATGCATGCTGTTGGCACTGTATAAAGTGTGGTTTCTGCGTTGAAACATGGCTTTTTGTTTCTCACACCCCATAACCAGAACAGCCAGGAATGGGAAGAACAGGAAAAGAAGAGAGAATCGCTTAAAGCAGTGGTGTTACAGGTAGACAAGCAGGCAAGCAGCCTAGTCCCCTCTCTCCAACTTTAGCAGAGAGTACACCTTCCAGATAGGTGGCGGAAGAATAGCATTATCAGTCCAATCATTAATCTCCACCTTTGCAAATCTCATAGGCAAATGAAATATGGGAACACACTGGGGTTTATGTCAGAGGTCATGCTCCCCACCTCTTGTGCAGGGGTAGGGAGGAGGCTCCTCTGGGTACCATCTTTGCAAAGCTGGTAAGACTCTTACCTTGTTTTCAGTTGTCAGAGGTGGAGGAGAATAAAGAAAGATACTAGCCCCCATCACACTCTCACCCCAAGCCTTTGCGAATCGTAGAGAGGGGAAGCACCGAGCTGGTCGTGCTAGAATGGCAACAGAGACGCCCCTGCAACCTATTAATCTCCTGTTACAAACGCCAGGATCTTTTGCAGACGTTGTGCCATCTCCCCTCCCTTCCTCCCCTCCCTTCCCAGCTTCAGCCTGCTGAGGAGGGAGAAGGAGAAAGAGAGAGAAAGCAGCTTTTAAATTTATTATTCCAGGAAGGAGGAGGACTCTGAAAAGAAAGCACAAGCGGGCTTCTTCCAAGGAGAACTGCCACCCCCCTCCGCTCCAAGCAGGAATACTCTCCCCTTAGTCACCCTGGTTACAGGACACCCCCCAAAACACACACACACCTCTCTCCTTCCCCTTTAGCAAACCCATAACAAAAGCATGCTGTACTGCCTGGGAATATAAGACTAACTAGCAGCCAAAGGCCACCCAAATAAATCCCCCCCCCCGCAATTTCCCCAGCAGTCTCTTATTGGGGAAGGAGGGGGGTCCCAGCAACTAGGGTGGTGAGTTAATTTAGCGGGGGAGGGGGTCAAAGACTGTAATGGAGGAAGAAGAGCGAGCCAGTAATTAATCAGCCAAACATAGCAATAGCAATAGCAGCAGCAGCAGCAGCAGCAACAGCCTCCTCCTCCTCCTCTGGGTTAAACAAGGGAGACAGCTGGAGAGCCCAATCAACAACAAGCAGCTTGTTTACCCCGCAAAGTGGCTCCTTCCACCTCACCTCTTAATCACAGGGTGAGAAATCAAAATACTTTAAAAAAAAAAAGTGAGTCAGCATGGGTGGATTTTAAAAAAAAAAACCCAACGAGGAAGAACTCACCACAAGGCAAGAAAGACACAGTCAGAGTTTGGACTAATTAGTGTTTAAAATGCCGGAAGACAGCTTTTCAGTCACACGTAATTCTTTTGTATTTTTTTGCAGAAACCCCCACCCCTACCCCCGCGGGGTAACTTTGGCAGGCTGCTTCACTTGACGGTTTGTTTAACATATTTATTTATATAACTCTACCAAGGTGCATCACACTGAGAGCACAGCGGAGCGCAGGAAGAGTCCCTGCCCCAAAGAGCTCGCAAACTAGTGTGATAGTTTGTTTTGTTTTTCGGGGGGCGGAGGGAGAAGAGAAACGGGAATGTAAGGAAGCTTCTGACTTTAATATATTTATCACACTTCTCACCTTTGAAAGCGAGACAGCGATGATCTAGCGTTTTTAGGTACCCACCGACCAGGTCGTTTTATTAGAGCATCTCATATAGCAACGCTCCATGGGAGGCGCCTTTAGAGAACATCTCCCCACCACGTTTTGTTCATTCATGCTTTTCTGTTTGATGCAAGTTTTAAGGAAACCCCCCACCCCAGTAATCAGGCTAAAACAAGCCTTCCTGTATGACTCTGTTTACACAGGGGTACCACCGCAGCTTCGAGGTCTGGGAGTATTGGCAGTTTCCTAATCCTATTAAGTCTTCTGTGCAGTCAGCATTTAATCTAGGATAATAATAATTTTTTTTAAAAAAAAAAAGTCAGACAGAGGCTACTTCCTTTCCAGACTTGATTCTGAGACACATTTTTCATGTCGAAAGGGAAGCCGTAATATATCCTCCATCACAATAAAAAGTATCGTTTTGCATTCATCACCGCACCTTCGTGCCCGGGGAGCCAGGGGCTATTTGCGGGGAGGTCTGCGTTTGTAAACTGCTCATCCGACCCAAGCGCCGGCGCGGGTGGGTGGAACGGCGAGGAGGAGATGTGTAGGTCGAGCACAGTGTGTCTGCCTAAGGAACAAAACTATTCCGGGATTGTGGCAGGCGAGCACACAGATGGGAGACGAAAACTGTATGTGTGTGTGTGCGCGCGCGCGCGCGGGCTGAGCGCGTCGTCGCCCCTCTTTTTCTCCCACTGCCAGCGGCAGCTGCTTCCCAGCCAGACATGCAGGAAAGGGGCTGCACTTCTGTCTGCCTCCCTTGAAACCGATCTTCTTCCACAGGCACGCCAGCCTGTCCTACTTTCCCCCCCGCTCTCTCCTTTCTTCCTTTCCTAGGAGCCACACGACGGCAAGAAATCATCTCCATCTACCACCATTTTAAAACACAAACACAGCATAGCGAGAAATTGCACTAGGACGCTGAAACGGACACACAGACATAGACACACGCAGGCGTACAAGCGCACTCTGGACGGGGAAAAAAAATAAAATAAAATAAAATAAATAATAATAATAAATACAGGAAGCTTCCAAGTCACCACCAAAATGCGAAAGCGCCGTCTGCCCCGGTTGTCTATACGCACAGCATCAGCACGGATCGGGAAGGGGGTGGGAAAGGATCACTTTCCCCATCCCAGGAACTAAATCCCTCTCATCAGAGTCTCTCTTGGGATCCTGGTGCCCAGAGACGTTCGCTAAGAACGAGACTTTTCGTTCCTTCCTGCCCGCCCGGCTGAAGTCTACTTACTGGAATATGCGGCTCCATGCGTGGTGCATCTACCCGCGGGGAAACCAGAAGCATCTTGGACTGGTGATCCACCAGCTTTTACATCCAGTTTGATTGTTTTGGACGAAACCCAGCAGCGCTCAAAGGAAAAGAAAAAAAAAAAGAAAGAAAGGAGGGAGGGAGGGAGGTGGGGAAAGAGAGAGGGACTCTCGGCGCTTGTTTCCCCTCGCCTCTTAGGTTCCCGACAAGTTCATCCTGGCGTTGCAGTTTGCTAATGATTCACTGTCTGTCTCATTTCGCGCACTACATTTCCCTCAGCCCACAGTTTCCTCAGTCAGAGGTGGAGTTTGTGGGCTTGAAGTTACCGATAGGGCATATCTAACTGCTGTGTCACTCGGAGAGGAGGAGACACGCCGCCGCTCGCTCTCTTTCCCTTACTCTTACACACAGGCAGCCTAACTCCCGTCTTAAAGGGGAAGGAGCACATCGTTGTGCCACCTTAACATAAAAAGCGACAAGTCCAGAGAGCTCCGCGCTGCATTTTAAGGCGCAAAAAGCCGATTAATTCGGCTAGGAGGGCTGCTGAGTTCCGCGCAGAATTGTCACCTTAAAAAGAAAAAGTTGCCCCGCTCCCGGTGCCTTGTTTCCAACATAAATCTGCCTCCCCAGAAACGGCACAAGAGGCGACGCTTTCCGTATCATCCCTTATTCCCCTACCAGGAAAAAAAATATGCACATTTGCTTCATTTAAACGGTGCCAGGATGCTTGGTGTTAAAGACGCAGAAGCAACTCCCGCCCCCGCAACACACAAAGGTGATAACCTCATTTATATACTTAACCAAACTAATTAGAAACCAACAAAAATAATATCGTAAGATAGACCGCATGTGGAATAAGGTTCATTCATTCTCTCTCTGCTTTCGAGCATGTCTGGGAGGCTTAAGGAAGAGCCCGGTGTAGGTAGCCACTTTCCGCGCAGCCGACGGCTAACTAACTTCACTCGCCGCCAGCCCCTCACTCCAGTTTCCTAACAAGACAGGCCAGTAAGGCGCGTCCCTTTGCTTCCAGAGGTGCATAGCATAGGATTATGCAGGCGGCTGCCAAAAAATCTGGATGCTTTTTATGTTTGCAAAACACGCTTGTACCCAAGAGGTTTCTTCCGAGCCGGCCAGCGGATGCTCGGGGAGAAAACTGCGAGAAAATTGCGAGGTCACATCCAGCCCATACCTAAGTGCAATCCTATGAATGTCTGCTCAAAAGCGATCGCTCCCGCAATAGTTTGATCCTGTATACAGCACATCCACAGAGAAGTAATTATCCCCAGTGAGAGTTACTCCCAAGTTAGTAAAACCCATCCCACCCACTAAACTGGAAGAAAATCCTAGTGAGCTTCGTTGGATTATTAAGTTTTAGTTGCCAAACTTACCATGTTTGAGTCGGACATCGTGAGTGCACAAGCTCCGCGGAGCTGCTGTCTCTTAAGTGACACCTGCCACCTGCCAGCAGAGAGCCAGATCGAGAGTGCTCCAGATCTCTGAACTGCTTGAGTGGGAGTGACTATGGATAAAGATGGTGCACCTGCTTTTCTACTGCCAGCTAGAGATGTGTCCTTGCCTGGATTAACTGTAACTTCATTTATGCACATACAGTTTGACATTGATTTCAGAAACTGATTGTGTGCTAAGAAATCCTTGGGCTCAGGAACAAAAGAGGGGTCAAGCTGGGAGCCATTTGAATGTTTACGACAATCAAAACCTCTGGATGACTTCCCACAGCAATTTCATGTAGATATTAAATAGTGTGGATAATAAGATGGGGCCCTACAATTGTCTAGTCCAGTCCCATCCTGAGAAAGATGGCCTGGAAGGATATAATAGTTGATGGCATTTAATTATGCAGCGTACTTTTATCCAGCATTATATCCCAAAGTGTCTTACAGAGGATTGCAATTACATCCAAAAAAATATGCATGTGTAATCAGAAATAATACAGTGCCAGGTTTATTCCAAGCAATATGTTTTGCCCACACTCTTGGTATTATTTTGTGTTGCTAGCAGCGGGTCCAATGGGACCTCCAATGCGAAGGTATCAAAAGATGTCCAGCCAAAACACATGCCACATGCCTAGTGCTTGGTAGGGAAACCAGGGAAATTAAGGCAATTTCGTGTCTAAAACAAAGAGAGAAACAAAACCAAAAAGTACCCAAGTAATCTCCATCACCTGGGAGCCCTTGGGTCTATGTGGCAACTCTTGCCAGTTGGGCTGGCACAAGACATTTTGCTGCCTGAGCCAAAGGATGAAATGCCGCTGCTTACTGGTCAGGAAGCTGTGTTTCATTTCAACACCAGCATCCGCCACCAAACCTGAGTTCAGCAGGGCATACACAACAGTGGGGAATAGCTGACGAGCTTGGGTAGGCAAACTAAGGCCCGGGGGCCAGATGCGGCCAAATAGCCTTCTAAATCTGGCCTGTGGACACTCCAGGAATCAGCGTGTTTTTACAGGAGTAGAATGTGTCCTTTTATTTAAAATGCATCTCTGGGTTATTTGTGGAGCACAGGAATTTGTTCTCCCCCCCAAAAAAAAATATAGTCTGGCCCCCCCACAAGGTCTGAGGGCCCTCTGCTGAAAAAGTTTGCTGACCCCTGGCTTAGGAGGAACACCTGAGAGGGCCGCCTCTGCTGTGCCATAGTATTTGCTGCACATAGTAGTTTTCTCACTGTGTCTAAGGGTAGGCCTGGCCATACTCATCATACAACAAGTCAACTTTGTGCATTCTGCTCCAAGGGGTGTAAGCAACAACATGGATGTAAGCAACAACACTGCGGAATAAAGGAATATTTTTGTCTTTCCCTTTCCCAATAGACTAGTAAAGATTGCTAGATACATTTTGATGTTCTCCCTCCTGCATTCCTTTCCTTATTAACCACTGCTGTAATCATTTCATGCGCCGAAGTCACTGGGTGTGTCTAGGCTGGATCAGTGGCATATTCGGGGTTAGGAAAGTAGAGCTATAAAGAATATTAAAGACTGTGCAGCTGATTTTCATGTTTTTCTAAAGGAGATACTGTCGTCTCCTCTTTGCCACTAATAAGATTTTCCATTTTAAAAAAGATGATGCCTTTGAACAGTAACGTAACATTTTAAATGCAGAGGCTTTGGTAATAACAATAGATCGAAAACATGTACTAATGGAAGGGTTTCCTTCAGTTTCAACCTATTTGCATATGGATTCACTTTAGATTTTTCTGATACTCCTATAAGACCCTGTGTGGGTGTGCTGATTGCAGTACACACACTGGATGGGGTTTACTACACATGGGGGTGCAGTTGTTGGACATCAAGCCATTTTCTGTTTTACCATCGGATTGTAATAAGACGCTCCATTCTAGAAGAGCCTTTTCCTACTATGGTTTCAAAGCGCTTTAGGTGTGCATTCAGTGAACATGCATAGAAAACTTCGGCCTATACCTGTGTTTCTTACCTGTCCATTCATGCCTGTGCTGTTAAAAGGGGGCAACTTTTGGCACAGTGAATAAGATACAGCAGAATCTGTTTATAATGGGTGTAATTCCACGTGGAGAAATACAGAGTGGCTCAAATCAGTGTGAGATCCACGTGAGAAGTTAAACAAAAGTGAATGTTAAACGGTATCTCAGTAATTCTGATGGAATGTGATTGAATCTTGAAGAAAACACACTTCCGGGTTCCCACAACATGGCGGATTCGGCTTTGCGGGGCTTCTGGGGAAGAGTGCTAGAGGACGCGCCTCCCCCAAAAACCCCAAGAGGAGCATTGGGGTGTCTTAGGGTCATGGATGGTGGCGTGGCACTGCCAGCCCCCGCCTCCTGTTTTCCTCCAGCCAGCTAGAGATGTGTCCTTGCCTGGATTAAGTGCAACTTCTTTTATGCACAAACAGTTTGACATTGATTCCAGATACTGATTGTCTACTAAGAAAACCTTGGGCTCAGGAACAAAAGTGGGGGCCAATCTAGGAGCCATTTGAATGCTTACGACAATCAAAACCTCCAGATGACCTCGCGCAGCAATTTCATGTAGACATTAAATAGTGTGGATAATAAGATGGGGCCCTACAATTGTCCAGTCCATTCCTATCCTGGGAAATATGGTCTAGAAGGATATAATAGTTGGTGGCATTTAATTATGCGGTGTACTTTTATCCAGCATTATATCCCAAAGTGTCTTACAGAAGATTGCAATCACATCTAAAAAGATCTGCACATATAATCAGAAATAATACAGTGCCAGGTTTATCCACACCACTGACAATGGTATCCTTCTAGAGCGACAGTCAGAGTTAGGAGTGAATGGCACTTTTTTGCGGCAGTACCAGTCCTATTTGGGCGGTCTTTTCCAGAGGATTTATCAATACAATAGGAAATGTTTTAGTACACAAATCATTCTGAATAATCTTTTGAATTGTGATGTTAAAATTTAAATCTCTTCAAAGTTTCAATTCCAGGCACATCAAAATGCCACTTTGTGTGTTGTTTCCTCTGCAAATTTTGTCACCCATTTCTTCAGGTCAAGTACTGATGCTCAGGCATGTTCAGCTGGTAATAGTTGCCAAGCCAACTGGTCTCTTTTGCAATATTATTCAGCGTACGCAAGTTTATATAAGTCTGAGCTTTCAGAAACTGTGTTTACCACTTGCCACTGACACTGGAAGTGTGAGAAGAATCCTAAGAGCATCAGAAACATTAGGCGCGCTATTCAGGAGTTTTTGTTGTAGTATGAAGACAAGCATTCCTTGCAGCAGCACGGACTTTGGGAGTCTTCAAGCGATCGCTATATATTCACGGTACAGATCTTCAGCATCAATATTTTTGTTTCCATTGTGCATCAATGGTTTTTCCAAATCCTTGCAGGCCTTAAGTACATCTTCAGCATATTTTCACTATTCAGTGTATCTAAGTATATTTCAGTATATTCAGGTTCTGTTCCTGCCCCCCTACCACACATGCATAAGCACATGCCACCCTGTTATGCCCCACTCTGCCCTCTGTTCCACCATATTCCATCCCTGTTCTGCTTTCTTCCAGGTCCAAAAGGACCTGTGCACTGGCAATTGCACATCAATTGGATACACCACAAACGGTTGCAGCCTGTACTGTATATACCAGTATATCATAAAGGAAGCCAAATAGGGCATTATACTGTTGTAGCTGTTGGTGGCTCTCTTCACCAGATTGTATGGCCATGACTAAGACGGCAAAGCAGAAAACTGCTTTGAATTTGTACTTTAGATCTTACAGTGACTCTTCTTGGGCCTCTTATGCAAGCTGCCATTTCTTTCTCATTTTTCCAATTTGTTCTGTCTCAAAGCCTGGTAGAGTTTCTAGCTCCTTTGCAATCTCAGTATCATCTATCAAAACTTGTTGAAAACGCTCATCACACCTGCAGCCCAGAA